CATCTGAACCAATCACAGAGCGGAACATTCACTGAGCCAATGAAATGCTTCGATACACTGAAGCGATCGACACATAGAACGAAGCAGTAGGGGGAGGGACTGACACTTCCACACTTTGGTCACGTGAGCGGCTGCTGTGAGACGAGCTCTGAGGCAGTGCTTCAGAGTGATTTGTTTCAGAAAGAACAAGACGTGCTCCAGAGCTCCGTCTCATTTGCCCGTCACTACTAGGAACGCCTCATAATGTTTGAACTTCTAATACAAAACTGTTCATTAGAAGATAAATATCAATGACATATCACAACTGGATCAAATCTGTTTAAGTTAATAGTGAAAAAGAGGCCATTCTCCGTCCCTACAAAGGAAAAGGTTCATACTGGGAATCAACAGACACTTTAAGTCAAAGCATCAAATGAAATAACTGGATCAGTGCATCGTGTACTGGCCGGGGGTCAGATGTACTGTTGAGGGGCAGAATGGCACGCAGAAGTTCCCACAGACCAACAGTGAGAGTGAGAGGATGTGAACGTGCAGAACAGAGCTCCACTGCAGTCCCAGCTGACACACACAGAGCAGCCCGAGGTCACACTCTGAAGGCAATATACTCTGAGCACTGTTTAAAAAGCAGGACCTCTTCACACACGGGACTGAAGAATGAGTGAACACAACCTCAGGTCAGGGCTAAACTCAACCAAAGCACACAATGGGGATCATTCATTTGATGTGACCTGTCCTAGACTGTTGGAACTCTTTGCCCTGGAGTTATGGACAATCACAGTCTGCCTCTGTTCAAGGCTCAGATAAGATCATGTGTTTAGAGTTGGTTTTAATAGTCTACCAGTCAAAAGTTTATTTTCCAGTGTTGTTTTTCTTTACATTTTCTGTACAATATATGTAAGACAACAAATCTATGATGAAAGTTACATGGAATTATGTAGAAAAGAAAAAAGTGAACTCACTTTTTAAATATATTTTAAATTCAAATCCTCAAATAGCCACACGTCGAAGTGACTTTGAAATGATTTCGACGTGAGCTTATTTCTTTAACCTTTTCTCATCAGTCTTTCTCCTTACTTTTTCTGTTCTACATCTTTGACATGTGTTGAAACCAACGAGTGACCCACTCTTCTTTGTCACCTTTTGGGCCTTTGCAATTTATGTTTGACAAAAGGGCAAATTATTGTATCAACGCCATCTGCTGTTAGTACAGCCGATGACCGATACACCAGACGGTCATTCTGGACTTTGGATAGCCAGCCCACCCCTGGCAGTGGTCAATGTATTGTTTTTGTCTGTCTGTTTACGACATTCTACAGGTGTCATTCATAGTTGTGAAGCTTTCACTGAGGATGTACAATGGAAATAGTCATGAAAAAAATAATCATGAATGAAAAAGTGTGCCCATATTTTGACTAGTAGTGTAATAGTACTGTTGATATGTTTTAAATATGACGCCAAGGTAAAGTGTAATCTTTACAAAGCAGCAAGGACAAGAATCTGAAGAGTAAAAGTATGCACAGAAACTTTCATATAGAAAACACTCCTACGATAAATGTCATTCAAAGTTATATGATGATTGACACTCAAAAGGATGTTGCCATGGCAAAGATTTGGAAAAGAACTACAATCATCTCCTCTTGTGAAGAAAATGAAGAGGCCACATGGCACCATCAGGCTACTTTCTAAACACAGTAAGACAATTGTATGCCCTGAAGAAAGCCCCACACGGACAAAACGAGTAAGAAAGTTCCATTTAAGCCTACAGAAAAAAAAAAAAAAAACCCATCTTATTTTATGTTATGTCCCAGCCCCACACAGAGCTGTCACTCACCCCCCCCTGAGCCTGCCACCCAGTCCCCCAATCCCCCAGTCCCTCAGTCCCCCACAGTGTGGGGCTGGCACAGCACTCACAATCTTATTTAGCAAACTAGTTTTACTTGGCCTAAAAATGGCCTCATATTTGTAACCACAAAATATATTTAAATGCTTCATGATCAAATATCCTACTGTGCGATCCATCAAAAGTTTAGTGTATGTAGACGCTACTTTAAAGAATGTTCTTTATGAGAAAATGTATTTTTTGAAAACAGCCTTTAAAGTTACAAAGTCCCAGTTGATTAAAGTGATAGTATGTCACTTTCTGGAGGTGGAAATTCAACTGCATGAGCTCATGGAAATAGGAATCTAAAACCATACTTTAGAACAGGGGTCTCAGACTCGCGGCCCGGGGGCCAACTGCGGCCCGCGGAAGGATTTTTTGCGGCCCTCCACTTGATTCCAAAGAATAATGTCAGTGCGGCCCGCGGTAGATGTACGCACAATCCCACCCCCCTACCGCGGGCCGCACTGACAGATGAAGCTGCAATCGGTGCCCATGCAGATTCACAACAGATTATTAACGCAGTTTACATCCCAAAACTCAATTTACAGCAGTTGTGAAGCAACGAGTCTAAGTGGATCTGTTAATACAAGTACACGTGCACATACGGCGTCACCGAAGAACCAAAACAAACCACACATGGTGGTACACGTGTGCGCACTTCACTTTATGCTCCCACAACCACAGCATCAGAGCGCAGAGGAGGCGCTGACAGAATCCCCCTGTTCATAAGTATGGGACCTTTATTGGAGGGGCTAATAAGAAATAAAAAGACACTGACAGTCTGTTTACCTGTTCAACACTCGGTGCGTAACTTGCTGGCAACACGATGACCAAGCTCCACCTGTGCGTCGCCGAAATCCACGCGCACTCAGCGGCAAACACAGCTGTCCCATCAATATGCAAGCACCACAAAACTGCAGTGATCTATTCCAGAGGCTTGGCGACATGTTAGCAAAAAGTACGAGGCAAAAACAAGCGTCTTCCATCCATGTTTGACATACGAGAAGCAGATACACTCCAGTGTGGTGCTTTCACACCGGCAAACGAACCAAAACTGGTCCGATTAACGAGCCTCTGTATCCCGGTAGAACAGTGATACCTCCAGTAACCAATACTGATGTTCCCTGTTAAAACCGCGGGCGTCCTCATCTTATCACCATGAACTCATAAAACAGCAACGTAGAACTTTCTACAAACTCACCGCATCAGCCCAGAGTTCGGGTAACAGCAGAAGCCAACAGCGTTCAGCGTAGCGCGCAGCTCCTCAGGACGGCGCTGGAGTCTGGTCCTTGGTTTTCTGTCGTCCTACAAGCGCGTTGGTCAGATGGTCCGGAGGCTCTATCCTCCATGTGCTGGTTCCAGACGGTGGCGAGCAAGACCAGTGCGCAATGACTGGGTCTGAGCGTGTACGTTCCGCCGTCTGCGCGCTGGTTCCGTGTTCCGTGCGGGGAAAGTGAGAATGCGCTGTGGACTATACCTACAGGTCTGTGCTGCTCCTGTCCTCCGCGCTCAAGAACCGCGGCTGGTTCCGAGGTGGTGCAAAGCATCCGGACAGAACGTGAATCCAGTTTAGTTGGTGTCCGCATTTGGTTCTTCCCGGGAAAAGCGCTTTTCACTCCCCGCTCCACGTCATCTGAGCCCGGACAGAACCGGAGCTGCTCCTGCTGGTTCGGGACTCTGGTTTGGATCTAGTCCGACTGTATTTTTCACACTAGGCTAAAAGCAGGACATTTTTTAAAGGTGAATCAATCGAATGGGCGATTGCCTATTGCCATAAAATTACTTGGTTAATTAAAGCCTGAAATAACAAATGCTGGTTCCTACATGATCACGGGGAACACCGGGACTTCTCTGTGCAGGTCCTGAACAGAAGTACACACCCCCATTTTTGACTCACTCTGGAGCCACACGTTCGCACGTTCTTGCTTTGATCTTCGTGTGTTACATTCTCTGTATTGGCCATTGTTGGTAAAATATTTCGAAAATGAATCGCGGCTGCGTCTGGACAACAATCTGTTACTGCGCTGGAGTTGTACAGAGCGTCATTACAGGCAGGAGACGCGTTTCTCCCATGATGCATCTAGAATAGTTCGTTTGGACCTGCTGTCTGTGGTTTGGACCCGGGTTCACGTTCACACCAGAAGAACCGCACCAAAGTTGGTCATTTGGTGCGGATTCAAGCGAACCGAGACCACCTCTTTTTTGAGGTCTCAGTCCACTTGAGTTGGTCCGGGTCAGAGTCCGATTGACGCTTTCACACCAACGCAAACGAACCGAACTAACCACTTCTGGTTCGAATGGATCGTTTGGTGCGCACCAAATACTGTCGGTGTGAAAGCACCTAATACAGGTCAAGGGTCACTGATGAGCATCTTCAATCTATCCTGAGGATCTGCTTCCTCCTGCAAGCCAAATATCTCTCAGCTGTACAAGATGAAGCGTAGCCAGGTTCCAACCAGCAAGAAGTAGGCAAAAGAAGAAGAGTAGACGTATTAGTTTAAACTTACGTTCTGAATACATTTTCATGTTCTGAACTGTTATTAAAGATTAAGAAAGTGTGTTGCGTGTTGTTCTTTCTCTCTCCTCTTTTCCCGTGCAACCATTATTTATCAAATACTCAATGCGGCCCAGCCTCACTCAGACTTTATCTAATGTGGCCCCCAGGTAATTTGAGTTTGAGACCCCTGCTTTAGAACATTCTCCATGGAGACAGATATTGTTTATGTCATACTGTGGAATATTATACCCAAATGAACATTTCCATGAACAGAAGTGAGAGGAGGCCCTTCTACAAGCCAGATAAGTGTAAGTCAGGTTTGTGGAGATGCAAGCATGCTCACAGTAAGGATGCATGTTTCTCAGTTTTTCAGTCCAATAAACAAATCCATAATGAAAAAAACATGCTTTTATTTTAGTTTTAGTCATTGTCAGTAGCAAAAAAGTTGCATACTGGGGCTTTAAATGCAATAATAAATTGGGAACAGATTAGAGAATGCTGATGCTAATAAAGAACTTTTAAAGTAGCTAAAGTCCCTTTTGAAAATGTGTCTGGTTAGCCAGGCTACTGTGAAATGACATAATGAAAGTTGACAGCGTTCTTTTTCTTGGCATGTCTTACCTTCCACTCCGCTGATGCACTTGACTCTGTCCCGGACCTCCACGTTGTATCCTTCAAAGGACATGAACACCCCGTCAGGATGGTAGGGCTCCCTCTGTGCGTACACTTTGGAGTAGCTGTGCTGGAACTCGAAGCGCTCGTATCCGTCGTACTGCACCACTTTGCCATACACCTCGAAGTACTTCTCCATCCAGCTGAAGGGGAAGTAGACCTCTGCGCCCTCCCTCCTCCCTTTCACCGTGGCCTCATCGTTGATCAGACAGTCGATCTCCTCAAACCTGCTCGCTGCCCCCCCGACCACAGGAGGGGGCTCGGGGGGCTGGGGCGGTTGCTGCTGGCTGCTGATGCTGGCTCCGCCCCCTCCCTCTCTGGGGCTGGGGGGCACGGCGGCGGCGTGGCGGGGGAGGAAGCGCAGGGAGGTGTGGGTGGTGCAGCGGTTCCATAGCAGCACGGTGATGAGGGTGAAGAGGGCACAGATCACGATCAGGGTCTTGTAGTTGACCCGAGCGGCCAGGCAGCGCATCCTCACGGCTCACCTGAAGAACACACACACACACACACACACACACACACAGAGGGGTCAGGCAGGCAGCGCTCTGGAGCAGGAACTTCAAAACAAGCAGATCAATATCACTTGATTTGTCCCCAAGGGGAAACTCAAGCACACTGAGCACTAAAATACTATAATAATAGAAAGCTCAAAAGTCTCAGCAGGTAGAGTCATCAGATCCAGTGTCAGGGCAGTTTGAGGAGAGAAAAAGATGCACATACTGTGTACATGGACATGTTTTTCCCCTTCTTCATTAAACCCAGGCCCATCTGTGACGAGGCCTGGGGTCATTCTGTGTACAACTGAATATTTCAGAAAAAACTAGAACAAGACTGAAGAAAGGGTAAGGTAAACGTTGTTGTCCTACAAGCAGACATTTGTCTTTGACATGAAATGCAGAGAAGCACAAATGACAAGCAGAAAAACTATGTGCAGACTAGGGATGGGCATTCGATGAAATTTTCTTAATCGATCGTCGGAAGAATGAATGATCGATTATCGATTAATCATTAACGTTTTTATATTAAAATGATCATCATTATTATTACTATCTGCACTACTAATCTGCATAAATAAATTCAACTTTACGACATATAAACTGTAATCACTCTAGAGCCACATCAGCTGTTTGACATTATAATGTGTTTAATTCAGTTTCACACTCTCACAGAAACAAAAGTTAAAACCACATCACTAATTTGCATAAACTAGGTGAAGATTAAAAAAAACAGCTCTTGTGTCGCTGATGCAGTCAACTTCTGTTGGATTAAAAGACATGACTCAGGTGAATACAGGTTAGTGTGACTAGATTTGTGTTTGTCAAAACCAGGACACCGTACGAGGGGAGGGAGGTGGGGACTCGTCATCGACATTGTGCTACTCTCACCTGGTAAAACTTTTCCCACTGGACACCGAAACATATGTGCTGCTTTGTACACTGTGCACATGGACTCACACTTGTCCCGACTGGAAGGAAAAGCGTGGAAGTTCTTGTACAAATCATCGTTAAATACACACTTGTGCTTCGGTACGTTGCAGACTGACCCACTGTTTGTGTCTCGCTCCTTCTGATGCAGAGACACATGTACAGACCTGTTTGGTCACACTACACACAGCAACCATTCAGTTTGTCGATTAAAATGAACGTAATCGATGAAATTCTTAAATGCAGACACTGTACACTTTGATGAATTACTTTATGTTTCCACAAGATCATGACTGTGAACTGGTGCTGAGTCTACTCATTCAGATTCAGATTCTCCACATGAAAAGGCCATGCATATGACTTGCAGCATGTTCTGAAGTGTTCTCAGCCAGCTCTCTGAAGGGCTTCCAAATGCACAGATTGGAGAATACTAAATAGATTAGAATCTTGAATAGTGAAAAACATTCATATACATTTTATAAAACCAAAAAAGGCTGTGACATGTTTGTCCTGGGCTGTTTCTACACTCAATAATTTATTTAAATGTTTATCTCTAAAGTGCTTGAAACACTATTCACTTACGTATGCTTGTTAAATAACACACCTCACAAGAACCCATCAGTTCCACCTTTGAGGAATGATTTGGACATCGCTGATCTGCTATTCAGCCACTCACACTATTCATTCAGTAATGTCATTTATCAACAAATATGTCTGGAGGAGATTCAAACGATGTTGTGCTGCTAAATATTTAGTCATCAACTCAAAAGCGTTCAAAACAGGCTCTTTCCCATCAACTCGCCCTTATTATGTGTGCATTATCTATGTGCACCAAAACATGTCCCTGCTTCCCCAGAGCAGTGTCTGATTGAGTATGGATGTATTCAGAGTGCTGCAGGCTGCGTGAGGAGGAGCTGCAGCACAACTCACTGCTCACACTAATTAAAGCTGGGGCCATAGAGCACAGTGTACAGACAGACAGCACATCCAAGCTCTGTCCACTGTCTAAACACACACACACACACACACACACACACACACACACACTACACTCGAGCTCATTAAGTGCACAGAGCCACCCGCACTGAAGGGGCTGCAGACACAGGGCCAGTATGGGGAGAAAGCTGCAATCTCATCAGGGCACTTTACTTTCATGGGTGGCTATTCAATCCTAAGTACTAATAAGCGATGATATTTACAGAGGAAAATAGTTTACTCGTCTAATTGGATACCTATGAACAGTACAGGAGTTGCATATTTTTCTGACAAGCATTGTAGTAGAAAAATCATTTTTGTTTTAAAAGGCCCAACTTGTGTAACAAAGTCTAAGACAAAGCAGGGCCTTTAGTTAGCGTCAGCCACAAAGTATCAATACACAATACAAACAAAAGAAAAACCAAACCCCCCCCCAAAAAAAACAAAAAAACAAAAAACTAAACTCTGGTACTCATCAATAGACAATGTGCACAATGGCAAATGCTACTTCCAGTTGTAAAAGTGTTCTTGGGTGACACCTCTGTTGAAGCTGTCCCCCATCAAACACAAACCTACACACAAACTACAGCTATTGCTTGTGCTTTGTTTGTGCTGCAAAAACTTTTGTTTGTGCAATTATGGTTGTTAAGATATAAGTGGTTTCATTTTGGGCCGGTGACGTCATCCAGCCCCTCAAAATGTGAAATAGTTTCAAAACAGTAGAAAATTAGGCCAAACATTTGTATTTCGTTAGTGCTGCTTGTGCTGTGTCAGTTTTCATTTATGTGTGTATATTTCTAAGATTATTCATTATTATTTTTGAGGAAATTATATGAGGTCATTTCCGCTCAGCAGAGGGCAGCGGCTTTAGCAAAACGCCACAAAACTAGTGAAGAGAAACGACCTGAGACTGTGGAAAAGTCTGTATTATATAAAACATGAATCAAAAGCGAGTTACTAAAGACTGATACAGACTTTTCCACAGCCTCAGGTCGTTTCTCTTCACTAGTTTTGTGGCGTTTTGCTAAAGCTGCTGCCGTCAGCTGAGTAGAAATGACCTCATATAATTTCCTCAAAAATAATAATGAATAATTTTACAAATATACTGACAGAAATGAAAACAGTCACAGCACAAAACAGCACAAACGAAATACAAATGTTCATATATTTTTGCAGTTTTGAAGCTATTTCACATTTTGAGAGGCTGGATGATGTCATCAGCCCAAGATAAAACTGTTAATATCTTAAGAACCATAATCACACAAACAAAAGTTTTTGTGGCACAAAACAGCACAAACTAGCATCGTGATGCATAGACATTTTTTTTTTCAAATTAGATTTTTTTTAAACTGTGAGGTGTGGACTTATTTATGATGTTTTAGTGGACCAATTATAATGTCTCATTAGAAAAGTTGCGCTTAAAAGTTGACAAAAATGAACGAATCCCTGGAAATCCAGAAACAAAATTATCAACATTAACATTACTATTTCACCTGCTTATCTCCATGGAAACGATATTGCTTTGTCTATAATGTTCCACAGTATAGATTAAACCGATCTATGACGAGGGAGATAAGCGCTACGCTACGTTACAGCCCAGATCTGCGGAGAGTCGCCCTTATTCGCAGAAGGAATTAATGTATTTTTGAGTAACAGTTTTAATATCTGTGTACTGTGGTGTACGCCTTAAAACTGCATAATGCACAGCTACTCACTGTTTAATGTTGACTTAGAAATGTACACAGAATCAGCTAACTATCATAATCCTAGATCTTGGCAGTCATGATTCTGTTTTGGAATGCATAGCGTTTTGTTCTCCCATTGGCAGAACATATGTTTGTGTCAAATATGGATTGTCACATCAGATTCATTACTCCCACTCACGTGGATCAGCTATTTGCCAGGATTGTTTTATGTTTGTTTGTTTTTTTTAAATTCGCTTTAGGTATATTTTTTAGATGGTCCAATATGGATTTCAATATTTTGCACCATGAATTAAAGAACATTGTAGTTAAGTTCACAAATGAACTCCACAAGACAAGACGAGACTCCAAAAGAATAGAAAAAGAGGAGATGATGATGACATCATTTTGAATAAATAGTGTGGATCAGTTCACAGTTTTGGTCTCACCATTTTTGATCTACTTGATGAAATCTGTTTGCTGTGATTGTAGCTCTGCTTTCTGGAACTAACACCACAAGAAATGTAAAACAAGAGCTTGACCAGGAGGCCCAAGGACAATCTCTCTTGTTAAAGAATCCTGTGCAGCAGCAACACAACGTAACCACACAGAAAAATCACAAAATATTACATCATAAAGAAACAGAGTCACCACACTTTTCCCAAACTTGTCAAGTGACACTTAAGATTGCAATTTTGAGATCTTTTTGTAAATGATTCAGTCAAAAAAAAAAAAAAGCTCTGTGAGGCACTAAGGCACATGGAAAAGGTTTTTTGATGAATATGTAAATATACAGCCACCCCTTTACTTCAAAATTCAGCATTTGAATTTAAACATTTTAAAACTTAATGTTTTTTTTCTTAAATGAGAACTTCAGCAGCATTTAAATTAAAAATCATGAAATAAATGATCTTCTACAAAAGTGACATAAACTGCATGAATATTTGTGTTTTGTGTTTTCAAATGAACTGAATGACAGACGTGAAAGACAACCCTTGTTTATTCACACATGTTCATTTGTTGCAACATTCGTCCATCAGATCTCCAGCAGCACTGCAGCTTGAGGCTTGAGGAAGGTCTTCATGGGACAGACATCTTGTCACCTTGAGTCTTTACACTGGCTGTGTTTACATGTGCAATCAAAATCTGATAAGTACCAGATTTTTAGACTCTTCAAATGACATGTAAACACATGTCAATTAAATCTTAAGTCTAGAAATCCAATAGTAATCAGATTGTGTTGTGCATGCGAGCGTAGATACTGTAAGAACCTGTTAGAGTTGCTCGTGTTGACACTTTTGATGGATGCACCTCAAATATGCTGTTAATGTTTAAGTGAAGAAGTGAGGTGTTCCTGTGACTCTCTACATGTTTAAACTGTACATAGAGAGTCTTTGTGGCAAA